TGCATGCCCTCTCCCCACGGCCCTGTGGCACACAGCACAGAGTGGACATGCATGCCCTCTCCCCACGGCCCTGTGGCACACAGCACAGGGTAGACATGCGTGCTCTCTTCCCACAGCCCTGCGGTGCAGTGAGTTAAGCTGCTACACGCGTGCACATTGGGGCGTGGGGGTGGGGGAAGTCCCAGCTGCTCCATTTCCCATCCAGCTGCTGCTGATGTGCCTGGGAAAGCAGCAGAGGATGGCCCCATGCCTTGGGGCTCAGCACCCTTGTGGGAGACCCAGAAGAAGCTTCTAGCTCCTGGGTTTGGCCCGGTCTAGCCACAGCCATTTTGGCCATCTGGGGAGGTAACCTGTCTGTCTCCTTTCCCCCCTCCCTCCATCTCTAACTCTGCCTTTCAAATAAATAAATAAATAAATTTTTATTTTGGAAAAAAAAAAGCGCAAAGCAGTGTTGGGGGCAGGCCTGGTGGTGCAGGTCAGGGCACAGTGTGGGCAACCAGCCCCCATGTCTGCGCTCTGCCTCCTGTCAACGCATCCCGAGAGGCAGCATGTGCACCGGATCCCTGCCACCCCAGGAGGCCTGACTGCAGCTCTGGGCTCCTGGCTACCGCAGGCATGTAGGGAGCGAACCAGCACACAGGGGCGCTCTTGGTTGCCCTGATTTCATTTCAAGGAAACACACAGTGAGAAGGGAAGAGGTGCTGCCAGAGCCAGCAGGATCGTGCAAGGCGCGGGAGACAGGGCACAGCTCCCGCAGCAGCCACGGGAGTGCAGCAGACTGCTCGCTCCCCACTGCCCCGCAAAGCCTGGGCCCCCGTGGATCCCCCAGAGACCGGGAGGGGGAAGGGAGGTCAGGGCATGGGGCAGTGCCGGCACCCTGGGCTATACTCCGTCACAGTTCAGAACATGGTCAGGGGTGAACACGGAGCCGCAGACGACGCTGTGACCGTGGCTCACCCACTGCGGTCAGCCGCTGCTGACACTGAGGGCCAGTGCTGGGGCCAGAACATGTGGTTGGGGGGGAGGGCCCCTCAGATCTTACTTTTCGGTGGACTCTGCTTCTTGGGGTTTGGTGGCAGCCCCTTGTCACTCTTCCCCGACTCCGCGGCCAGTCCTCGGAGAGCCTGGGCTTCCAGCAGCAGCGTCTGGACAAAGCACACACAGCCCTGTCAGCGCGAGCCTTCAGTGACCTCGGCCATGACGGGCCGGCACGAGGCGGGAGCTGCACGGAGCGCAGCCTTCACACCGCGTCTTTCCTTCCTTCTTTTCATTTCAGAGGCCGACAGAGAAAGGACAGGCAGACACAGAGAGATCTGTCATCTGCTGCTTCACTCCCCAAATGGCCACGATGTCCAGAGCTGAGCCAGTTGGAAGCCAGGAGCCTCCCCAGGGGTCTCCAATGTGGGTGCACAGATCCATGGACTTGGGCCGTCCTCCCCCGCTTTCCCAAACCCCAGGCAGGGAGCTGGATGGGAAGTGGAACAGCCAGGGCTACAATTGGCACAACAGATGGAGGGGTAGTGTGCTACACCACAATGCCACAGTGCCTGCCACACAGGTGTATCTCCATCTGTAACAGAAGGCTTAAGATTATTCTAACGTTTGTCGGCACCTTATGGGGGAAAATACAAGCACAAAACACCGTTTCTTTGTGAAAAACGTCAGTTTGCACTTAGAAAGTAGAAGAGCTCCGCTCTGGTCTCAGGACCAGTGCCCAGGGAGCGAGCTAAGGGTCCACCTGCAGCGCCGGTATCCCATCTCCACTTCCAATCCAGCTCTCTGCTAATGGCCTGGGAGGGCCCCTGCACCTGCGCGGGAGACTCAGGAGCCCCCAGGACCCGCAGGCACTGCCCACACGGCTGGGGGGGCCACAAGTGTGCTCCCCGAAAACACCCGCCCCCCCCCAGTGAATTCTAAGTCAAGTGCACGCTTGCGACGGGCGCCATCTTAAGGCTGTCCACAGCGGCCGGCCTCGGCAGGCCCTCGCTCCTTCCCGCGCCTGCCCTCCTCGGCTCAGGTGCTCGAAGCCGGCGGCTGCCCGGGCCCTCCGGGAGCAGAGCCCGCCGCCCGCGCGCCCACCGCTGACGCCCGGGCTCGGCGCCCACCTCAAGCCGCCCGGCCCGCCCGGGGAGGCCCCGCCTCTACCTTCAGCGACCCAGCGCGTCCTTGTCGCAGCAGAAGCGGGGCCGCCATGGCGGTGACACAGCGGCGCCCACGGCGAGTGGGTGGACGCGGACACAGGTCACCCGGGTACGCCCGCGACCGCTGCGCGCGCACTCCGCCCTAAGTGCACGCCCTTTGCGCCGAGCACACCAATCACAGACAAGGACGGGGGCGAGGGGGCGGGACCAACCACGGGCTAGGTGTGGACCTGCGCGCGCGTCCCCAGGCCTCTCTGGGCTCCCCGAGACCACGCCCCCGGGCCGACGTCACCAATCACAGGCAAGGACGGGGCGAGAGGGCGGTACCACCCGCAGGCTGGATAGGGGCGGGGCAGACGGCAGAGGGCCTACGCACGCACCCCAGGCCTCTCAGGGCGCTGGGCTCCGAGACCACGCCCCTGAGCCAAGACCACCAATCACAGACAAGAACAAGAAGGGTCCCGCCTTCCGGGGGAGGGGTCTCTCCGGGACCGTTTCACTTGATTGACAGGGGATTCCTGACTGGTATTTGGGGATTCAAGCAGGGGCAAGGTAAGCCAAGAGAAAGCGGCTGTTGCAGACCCGGTTCAGGGCAGAAGCTGGAATCCAATGAAAGCAGCAGGGGCCCGCTTGTGGCGCAGCCAGCTAAGCTGCTCCTTGCAGTGTCGGTATCCCATATGAGAGACCCACGACAACCCACGACGGACACCTGCTTTTTAATAAAAAGAGATGCAGATGACAGCAATGCCGCCAGAAATCCCGTCTTGCAGGACACTGAAGCAAACGGTAGATCTGCCGTCAGAGTCCCGTCACGCTTAGCCTGTGTGTGAGCCAGTTTCTTCTGCAATTACACAGACCAGCTACTCAGGAAGAAGGGAGGCTTGTTTGGGCTTCGGTTACGGAAGCTCACGGTCCAGACTCAGACTCTGGGGTCCGAGGAAGCAGGGCGGGGGTACACACTGGTCATGTGGCCTCTCCTGGTGAGGCGACCCCCTTCCTGCTAATGCAGCTAAGAGAGCAGGTGAAGATGCCTCAGTACCCGGTCCTTGTAGGCACGTGGGCGACCGGATGGATCCCGAATCCTGGCTTCAGCTGGGGTGGCCTGGCTGGCTCTTGCACCATTTCAGGAGAGAACCAGAAGCTGAACATCTCTGTCTCTGTCTTTCAACTATCAAAATCTTCATTTAAAAAATAGCATATCAGGCCTGCTCCTTTAAAAAAATATTTCTATTTATTTTTATTGGAAAGGCGGATATACAGAGAGGAGGAGAGACAGAGAGGAAGATCTTCCGTCCGTTGGTTCACTCCCCAAGTGACCTCAATGGCTGGAGCTGAGCCAGGAGCCAGGAGCTCTTCCAGGTCTCCCATGTGGGTGCAGGGTCCCAAGGCTTTGGGCCGACCTCGACTGCTTTCCCAGGCCACAAGCAGGGAGCTGGATGGGAAGTGGAGTAGAACCGTCGCTCATATGGGATCCTGGCATTCAAAGCGAGGACTTTGACCACTATGCTATCGTGCTGGGCCCAGTGCAGATGTTTCCCTGGGCTGGTTGAGGTTTGGTGAAAGGAACTCTGTGGGTGTCACAGCTGGTTGTTAAATTTACATTCACAACAGCCTGACATGAGGTGCTGGTCCCTGCTCCTGTGGGGAAGAAGGCAGCTGCAAAACCACAGATCTGCTAGTTCACCTCCCAGATGGCTGCCACGGCAGGGCTGGGCCAGGCTGCAGCCAGAAGCCGGTCTCCCACGACGGTGTAGGGGCCGCAGCACATGGGCTGTCCTCCACTGCTTCCCCAGTCCGTTAGTAGCGAGCGCAACGTTCCTTGCCTTGCCTAAACAAATCTTTAACAAAAAGAAAAAAATTATTAAGTAAGAAAATTGACCACGAGAACACTAACAGTTATTCTTCTTAATAAATGTTAGATTTCCAGGTCTTGCGCTCCACAGCATTTCGCTGTTATTTCAGATTACTGATGCTCAGTCCTCACAGACATGCAGGCCCAGACGGGACGGCCCAGGTCCTCTATGCTGTGCTCGGCAGCCCCGACCTCCATTCGCTCCTAGCAGGACCCAGGCCAGCTCTTCCACACCAACACCAACGGGGCGTGTGCTTCCGGCCGTCCCTGAGCCCAGCCCCTCCAGGCAACACCTGCTCCACACAGTGCCCGGTGGGGTCCGTCCTGCAGTCCCCTCACGCTGCATGGCCCGGGGCCTTCAGAGACCCGGCAGGGTAGACGCAGTCCTGTTAAGACAGAGATGTGTCCTGGGGACTCGCTACCTGCCAGGCGGAGACCCAGGGCCCCGCTCGGTGTAACGCAGGCCCAGACTGCAGGCCCAAGGAGCGAGGGACGGCAGACATGCCAGCTCAGGCAGCAAGAGAGGGCAGACCACCCTTCTGCTCTCATCCTGTCCTGGGGGTGGAGAAGGAAGACCTCAGCGTGGTCTTCTCCCACCTTGCAAACTCGCCCATGTCTCCTGGTGAGGGCTGGCCGGGGCTTGTTTTCACCACTACGTGAGAAAGCTGAGGCCATGGCCGCCACTTGGGGTGCCTGCACCCCGTCATCTTCCTGCTAATGTGCCACGCTGGAAGTTAAGGCTTCTTTGGCTTATCTAAGTTCAGACAAGGAACAGGTTCATTTGCAGGATCCGGATCTGGACCTAGCTCAGCCCTGCACTGCCCGCCCGGGTCAAGTCCTGGCAAGGGGGGAACAAAAAAGTTACATCTGCGCATGCGCGCGGCCGGCCCTTCCGCAAAGGGGCGGCCCCGGCACGCACGCTGTCACGTCCCACGTCCCTGACGTCACTGTCCGGCGCCGCGGCGGGGCGGGAAGCACATGGGTGGCAGCGCTGCCGGGCAGTGTCCATGGCGTGTCCGGTGGGGCTTGCCCTGTGCGGGCAGGCGCTGGTGGTGCGTGGTGGCAGCCGGTTCCTGGCCATGTGCACTGCGAGCAGGTGAGCCCGGTGGCCGCCGTGGCTCCTGGTCCATGCTGTCCACCCGGTGCCCCTGGTCCCCGTCGCGGCTCGCGGGCGGCTCATGCCTCTGTCTCCGGGGCCATTTCTCCCAGCGCCCGGCGTTTACACACCACGGGCGGAGCTGGCAGTGCTCAGCTCCTGGCGCAGGCTCGTTTCCCAGGGGGGCTGAGTGCCCTCCAGCGCTGAGATGGACACTGGCAGAGGCGGGGGCCTGTGGATGAAGGGTCCACGGTGCAGTGTCGGCGAGGGCCAAGTGCCGGGTCCACGTTGAGGACCCCGAGTGTGCCAGGCTGTGGTCGGGGGGCTGTGCCGGGCATGTGGGTGGACGTCCTGCCGCGTTGCTGCCTGTGGGGTGTGTGACGTGCGTTGGGCACGTACAGCCGCCCAGCTCTCCCCTGCGCGTGCACCTGTGCAAGTGGGGGCTGGCGGGGCTGAACCCCACCTTGTGCTCTCCTTAAAGCCACCCCGGCCTGTCCTCTCTCCTCAGTGACGGTGACCCCAGCCTCTTCATGTACGACTGCAGCACCGCCGGGAGGAAGACGCCCGAGAGTGGAGGGTGAGGCGCTGGGCCAGTGCTGGAGGGCCGGGAGCTGGGACCTGCAAGACAGAGGGACGCGGCTGTGCAGGGCGTGGGTGCGTGACATGGAAGTCACCTGCAGATGGCTCCAGAGCATGAGCGGCTGCCCGAGTCCTTGGAGCTGGTGGCAATCGCAAGACATGTGATTGGCCGCTGGAAATAACGGCCTGCACGGTGAACCGGCGGTGAATGGGCGCTGAAGGCAGGGCTGGGAAAGTTAGGGGCCACTGGACAGATAGAATGTATCGTTGGTGTTGGGGCTCAGCATTTGTATGTGTGTGTTTTAAGAATTAATCATTTTATTGGAAAGCCAGATTTACAAAGAGAAGGAGAGATGGAGAAAGATCTTCCATCCACTGGTTCACTCCCTTGATGGCCACGATGGCTGGGTTTGCAACCAGTTTGCAACTGAGTTGGATGAGCCAGTTTGCAAACAGGAGCCAGGAGCTTCTTCCGGATGTTCCAGGCGGGTGCAGGGTCCCAAGGCTTTGGGCCATTCTCAACAGCTTTCCCAGGCCCCAAGCAGGGAGCTAGAAGGGAGGTGGAGTAGCTGGGACATGAGCCGGTGCTCATATAGGACCCTGGCACATGTGAGGTGAGGATTTAGCCATTGAGCCGTTGTGCTGGGCCTGGAAAGGCAGTTACAGAGAGACAAAAGTTCCTCCATTCACTGGTTCACTCTCCGAATGGCTGCAGTGGCTGGCGAGCCAATCCGAAGCCAGGAGCTTCTTCTGGATCTTCAACGTGGGTGCAGGGACCCAAAGCATTGGGCCATCCAGGTCACTAGCAGGGAGCTGTATCAGAAGTGGAATAGCTGGGACTTGAACTGGCGTCTTTCTGGGATGCTGGTGCCTGGGGGGCGGGAGGGCTAACCCACTATACTTTGAAACTAGCCCTCCAACTGAGCTCTGGCCTACGTGCCGTGGGCTAGGTTTCATTCTTGTGGAACAACAGCCTCTTTGAGCTTCCCGCCATCTTTCAGCAGGTGAAGTGAATGCCTGCTCCCCGCCTGGGCTGGCAGGTGTTGGGAGGAGTGTGGCCTGGCTTTCTTGGCTGATGTCTAACCACTTTCTTCCTGTCTTCCCCAGGGAGGATGGGCAGCCCGTGGACAAGGGGAGTGACACGATCCTGGCGTCCGCCTTCTCCACGTCCGGCAGCTATTTTGCCGTAACCGATGACAGTAAGCGTCTGATTCTTTTCCGTACAAAGCCGTGGCAATGTCTGAGTGTCAGGTATGAAATGCTAACGCTGTGTGCTCCCTGTAGTTGCATGCCACTGCTGTTGCTGGGGCCCTGGCTGCTGTACTGGGCCTTGGGCCTCTCAGACCCAGGGGAGGCTGTGTGTGCTGGGAGGTGTAGGGTTTGGGTGCGGTCAGCTGCTGTACTGCAGCGTTAAGATGGGTGGGCTGTGAGGTCAGTGTGCTGAGCGGACGGAGCCCACTGGGAGGGAGTGCGGACGCCCAGGGCAGTGCTGGCCTCTCCCCAGCCCAGACCATACCCAGGCCCCTTGGGAGGTGTCACCGCCGCAGGTGGCAGCTCTGCTGTCTGTCGGTTTTTCAAAAATAACTTATTTATTTGAAAGTTACAGAGAGAAAGGGAGAGGCAGAGATAATCTTGCGTCTACTGGATCGCTGCCCAAGTGCCTGCAGGGGCACAGCTGAGCTGATCCAAAGCCAGGAGCCAGGAGTTTCCTTGGGATCTCCCATGCAGGTGCAGGGTCTCACGCACTTGGGCCATCCTCTACCGGTTTCCCAGACTATTAACAGGGAGCTGGATGGGAAGTGGAGCAGCTGGGACATGAATTAGCACCCACATGGGATACTGGTGTTGGAAGTGGTTTCCAGGGCGTGGTGCAGTGGCCTAGTGGCTTAAGTCCTCGCCTTAAACATACTGGGATCCCATATGGGCGCCGGTTCTAATCTCAGCAGCCCCACTTCCCATCCAGCTCCCTGCTTGTGGCCTGGGAAAGCAGTTGAGGACAGTCCAAAGCCTTGGGACCCTGCACCCACATGGGAGACCTGGAAGAGCTCCTGGCTTTGGATTGGCTCAGCTCCAGCCATTGAGGTCACTTGGGGAGTGAACCAACGGATAGAAGATCTTCCTCTCTGTCTCTCCTCCTCTCTGTATATCTGACTTTGTGGTAAAAATAAATAAGTATTTTTAAAAAAAGGTGGTTTCCAGTTCTGCCACAGTGCAAGCCTGTATGTTTTTTTGACAGTTGTTTGAAAGGCAGAGCGTGTTTGAAGCATTCCATCCACTGGTGTACCCTTCACTGTTTGCCACAGCTAGGACTGGGCCAGGCTGAGGGAAGGTCAAGTGCTGAGACCCTAGCCCGAGGAGGCCCAGGGCCCGCGGACCTATGGGAAACAGTGTCCCTGCCACCTGCAGCACTCTTGGCCTGGGTGCCGGGCCAGCTGTCCTCCATCCTGTGCCCTGACCCCTCAGACCCTCGCCTGCATCCAGCCCCTGAGCTGTGTCCTGCAGAGGCTGGAGGCTGTGGCAGGAGAGGGAAGGGGCAGCGAGCCTTGCTCCTCTGGGTTCCAGGGGCTGTCCAGGGGTGGGTGGGGAGGCCGAGACTGAGGGTACCCTGCTGAGTACCAGGGCTGTGTCTTTCACCCCTGCCGGAGTCCAGCTCCAGCTGAGTTCGGAACTCACAAAGGGTGCGTGGATGAGGCGCAAAGAGGAAAGAAAGAGACGGACCACTAGGAACTCTTGATCATCATAATGGACTACGCACAAAAGCTGTCCGCTTTGTTCATACAGAATCAGTCAAACTCTGGCTCAGACTTTTTACGTCATGGTCAAGTGGGTGTTTCCAAAGATAACTGCCGTTTGTTTCACCTAAGGCTAGGATGTTAACCACCTGGTGCCTGGCACCTGGCGCCTGGCTAGGAAAAAGTTCTCAATAGATGGTGCATATCAATCACTAACACATTCCTACCACAATTACTCTACAGCTTGGTCTTGAGACAGTCAAGGAAGGAAGGGACCTAAAATATCAAAGAAAGAGGGAAAGAATAGATTCTACTACACCTGAAGACAGAGCACCCTTGATTAGCATAGGATCAAAAGGGGAGTTAGCACCCTTGATTAGCATATTGCCACAGGATGCAGCCATAACAGCAATAACAGCCTTTTGGCTAAAAAACGGCAACAGCAACGTCAGCTTCTAAGCTCCCATTGATATTTAACAGTAACTCCGCAGAGGCAGACAATGCCTAAATAGATTACAGAAATCTCAGTGGGGTTGTCCAGTGTCCATGCAAAGGGAGGCAGAGCTGCATTCAGGTGTTGTAGAGACATCCGCCGGGCCTTGCCACACAGCGGGACATTCCTTGCGGCCTTGCCTGCAAAGGAACGATACTCTTCACACCTTCCTGTCTTCCACATCCATCACACGGACCCCAGCACACTCCTGCTTGCTTAGTCTGCAGAGCAGAATTGGCTCAAGTGATGGCACACTCTGGGAGTTTTGGCTGATCTTACCCAGTGGTCTTTTGTCATTGATTCTTCCATGTCTGTCCCCATAGGCCTCAGTCTCTGGCTGCTGAGTGGAAGAGGTGGGGAGGAGGCTGCAATGGTGGCAGCTGGGGACGCAGCCCAGAGGCCCCCATGCTCTCCTGCTCTTCCTCCTGGGCCCGTGAGAGAAAGCCCAGGGCACTGTTGGTGTGCAGAATGGGGATGGCATTTCTCTTTAATACTGACTACATGTTGATCAGGGTGGGAAGGGGAGATGGGGCAAGCAGCTGTGGGATCCACGTGCTCCCACACCAGCCGGGTCGGTGCTGGTGCTTTCTCTGGGCCTGGCTTGTTAGTCTGCAGCTGGGCCGGTGTGTGGTGGAGCACTGGCTAGTGCCAGCCTCACAATGCTGAAAGCCACCGTGGCACGGCAGGCCCTCGCTGCTTCCTAGACAAGTAGCTCGCACATCAAGCCCGGGTGGTTTGGAGGCCTCAGGGTCTGCGGGGACCCTGGCTGACTCTTGGGCTCTCACTGGGTGCCTCTGGCCTGCAGGAGCGTGGTGAGGAGGTGCACGGCGCTGACCTTCACGGCCTCTGAGCAGAGGGTCTTGGTGGCCGACAAGTCCGGTGACGTCTACTCCTTCTCCGTGTCGGAGCCAGATGCGAGCGGCCGCCTCGAGCTCGGACACTTGTCCATGCTGTTGGACGTGGTACGTGGGGGCTTGGGCCAGTGTGTCCTGGCCCAGCTGGGAGACCAGCCGGTGACAGAGCTGGGCCAAGCAGGAACCCTGAGCCAGGGCCATCGCCCCTTGTACCCCACTTCCTCCCCACACCCCCAGACGATGCCTTCATAGACACTGGGGCCACTGGGAAGGCGTGTACCTGGTGGCTGGGGTTGTGGCACATGGGAGGGTTGTGGCACATGGGAGGGGTGTGGCACATGGGAGGGGTGTGGCTGGGGTGAGGTAGCCGTGGGAGTTGGGGCTCATGAGTCCAACAGGGAGCCCGCCCTCCAGGAGCACACGTATGGCTAAGGGGGACCTGAGACTGGGGAGGAAGGAGGGCCCCAGCCATCCCTGCAGGCCTGGTCCTGCCTGCTGTGGGGTTGCAGGCCTGAGAAATACACTGGGCCGAGACTCCAGTCTGCAGCTGCTCTGTCCCTCACGCCATAGACCGTGAGTCCCGATGATAGATTCGTGCTCACTGCAGACCGCGACGAGAAGATCCGTGTGAGCTGGGCCGCGGCCCCACACTGCATCGAGTCCTTCTGTCTGGGCCACACTGAGTGAGTGCTCCCCGGCAGAGGGCCCAGGCTCCTGTGTGCTGGGGGTATGGTGGGAAGCAGGGTCGGGGGAGGGCCCATGGCCAGGGAGCCTGTGTGTGCGTGCGTGTGTGTGTGTGTGTGTGTGTGTGTGTGTGAGACTGTGCCATGTGGGGTTGGGTATGAGCGCTGAACCCGCCTGCCTCCCTGCGTTGGCTTTGTTTCTGGAACACTCCAGCCTCAGCCAACACCTGTGGTTCATACCTGGCGGGGTCGGCAGTGGGGGTCCAGGTGTCTGTTGAGGGCCCGCCCTGTGGTTGGGCCATCTCTGACTGCAGCCGGCTGCAGTGAGCTGCTCTAGGAACTGCCCTTTGTGGCTTCTGGCGGGCCAGGGTTCTGTGTGGAGGCAGGCGCGTGGGTCAGCCGGCAGAAGTGCATCCCGAGCAGGGATGATCCCGGCTGGGCACGGGCTAGCGGTCTCAGCCCCCGTGACGTGCTTGGCTGCAGGCCGTTTTGTGGGGTGAACCTGCTGCTCAGCATCTGCAGGGGTTTCATCCAGTCCTGAGCAGCCCCCATTGTCCTGGGTGAACGTGTGGGAGGTTGGTGGTTCCTGGTTTGTTCATCTTGGTGGCTGCTCATTTTTCCTCTGAGTTCTGAGGCGATCCAGCTCTGGGCTCCTTCTCCCTGGCCTGCCAACGCTGTGGCCCAGCTCGCCGCATGGCCCAGCCCGCCCTGGGTTCTTCTCCGTGGCCCAGCTCGCCACATGGCCCAGCCCGCCCTGGGTTCTTCTTCGTGGCCCAGCTCGCCGCATGGTCCAGCCCGCCCTGGGTTCTTCTCCGTGGCCCAGCCCGCCCTGGGTTCCTTCTTCCCGTCCTGCCTGCCCTGTGGCCGGCCCACTGTATAGCCCTGTCCACCCCGGGGCCTGTCTGCTGCGTGGCCCTGGCTGCCACAGGCCTCTGTTTCCAGGCCTTTGCAAGCTCACCCTGGGGGTCGTGCCGTGTTTCTTGTTGCTTGTAGCACAGCAGCTGGCCAATTTAACACATCTGGCTGCCATTGAGGCTCGTGCTGTCTGCACTTGGCCGGCACTCGTGCCCGTGAGCCTGCGAGTTTGGGGGTTGGTTGCTTCCTGTCTGCAGCCTCAGCACGAGAATGCTCAGTGGGTGTTCCAGTTACTGGGGAAAGGGGGGGTGCCATTCATCCTCTTGGGAACTTGGGGGCCACGTACCCTGTGTGATGACCACACAGTGCAAGGTCTAGCTTGGGACGTTTCCTTTTGGAAGACGCGAGCGTGAGGGGCACTGTGGGGGAGGCCTTTGGCGGCCAGACTGGGGACAAGGGCCCCATGTTGTCATTGTCCCTCAAGGTCAGTGTCTTTGGGCCTGGAGGAGAGCCAGGGAGATTGACCCTGGGAGGTACTAGAGGCCACGTTCAGAACCAACAGCCCAGGTCAGGCTCTGAGGAGAGCCAGGCTGGGAGGTCGTGCCGGGAGCTGGGCTGGGTTGAGTGGAATTAGGTTTCTGGCCACATGTCATCCCTGAGGGTCGCCGGTGTGACCCAGCTCATGAGCAGGGGCGCTCAGCCCTCCAGGGCCTGCCTTTACTGGTCCTGTATCTCGGGTGAAGGCAGGGGCAGGGCTGTGTTGACGCTGAGGTGTGCTGGGGAGCTCTGTCACCGGGAAGGGCACCTTGGATCTTCCCGCGCAGCTGTGGCGGGGGCTCAGCTGGGCTGGAACCTGGCAGGTCATGTGGTTAGCTGGGGTGTGCACGGAGTGGGCTGTTGAGCGTGGTGAGTGGCATGGCTGTGTCCTGCCGTGTGACTGAGTCTCTGCTCCCGTGCTGCTGCAGGTTTGTGAGTCGCATCGTTGTGGTTCCTGGGCACCCCGAGTTGCTGCTGTCCTCCTCCGGGGTAAGTGACCCCTCAGAGCACCAGAGCAGAGAGGAACAGACCCTCCCCAGATGGCTCCCTGTCCTCCCTCCCTCCTGGCACAGAGAGGGCGAACAGGCCCACCCCCTTGGCTGCCTCCTCCCGGGTCATCTGCGTGGCCACTAGGTGGTGCCCATGTCCGTATCTTAGAGATGTGCTTGGCTTGCACCCTGTCTGGCCCACTTCGGGCTGTGTGTACACGCATGTGTGGGGTGTGAAAGCATGTGGTATGTCTGTACTTGCATGTGTCGTGTGTGTGCACATGGACATTGAATCAGCCTAGCCTCGATTCTGAGTCTGTGTTGTCTCTTGGACAGCGTTGGGGTCCTGGGTTGGAGCAGGTGACAGGGAAGTTCTTGCAATTGCTGAGGTGAGCATCTGGGCTGTACAGGTGGAACCTGTGGGCGCTGTGCCCCAGGCTGCTGTGGGACCCCTGGGCGCCTGTCCCAGGCTGCTGCGGGACCTGGCCACTCATGCTCCTGGAGTGGCTGCCTGCATCCCTCTGCAGAGTGTCCTGTGGAAGCCCTGCGGCTGCAGTGGGGCTGCTGGCAGCCACAGTCTTCAGGCACCTTTGCCTGTCTCCCCCCTTGGTGCTTCTGGACGAGCGCAGGTGGTGGCCTGGTGCCGGGCAGGGTCCCAGTGAGGCAGTGTTTTCCCACCGTCCAGCAGGCAGCTGGGGGCTCTGGTCGGGTCTGTCATCCGTTCCCACATGACCCTCTCACACCTCTTGGGGCCTGCTGTGGAGGCAGAGGATGGAGCACCGTGTGGTTGTGCTCTGGTTCCCTCTGGGTGGCGTGTCCCCCCAACCCACCTTGCAGTGTGCTGCTCTGCACCCTGCCCTGGCTTGCTGGTCTCTGGCCAGTCCTGTATTGCTCCGCTCCATGCAGGCTTGTGGTCTCCAAGCTAGAGCTACACAGAGACATTTTCCACCCACTGGCTGATTTCCAAGGAGGCTGTCCAGTCAGGGCTGAGTGAGGCAGAAGCCAGGAGCTGCTTCTGGGTCTCCCCGTCAGGGGCAGGGCCCGAGCACTCATTAGTCTCCTGTTTATCCAGGGAGCTGGATTGGAAGTGGAGCAGCCGGGACTCGGCTAGTGTCTGTGGATGCTGTCCTGGCAGGTGGCAGCTTCATGTGCTGTGCTACAGTGCCAGCCCTGACCCTTGTCACGGGGACACCTGTTGATACGTGTTGGTCTCCACATTTCTGTCATGTGTGGAGGTGTGTGTGGGTGACATGACACGCATGTCTGTGTGTGCAGGACTGTACCCTGAGGCTCTGGGAATACAGGAGTGGCCGTCAGCTGCATTGCTGTCACCTAGCCAGTCTGCAGGAGCCCGCGGAGCCTGCAGACCACAAGGTAGTACATTTACCTGCGTTTGTCTTGGGGGCCCGGGGCCAGCTGCTGCCTCCCCGGCCCTCGTGTATAAGGTGTCCTCACTGCTCACACTGGTTCTGCGCTGTCCAAGGCGCTGTCTGCTGTGCTTGGCAGAGTCTGCAGGTACTCGGTGTGGTGTGGTTTCCATGCTTGCGTTCCAGCAGCTGATGCAGGGAAAGGCCACGTCCCCTCAGAACTGGAGGAAAGGGGCAGAGCAGTGGCTTGAGCACCTGCCACCCTGCAGGCCCCCAGCACAGCACTGGGCATCTGGGCAGTGAACCAGCAGGCGGAAGGACACTTGGGTCTCACCTCTGCGACGTCCACCATAGAGAGGCCCTGTGGGTGATGCCTGACCCAGCAGTGTGTTCAGCAGATGCCATCACTGTGCATCTGCCAGCCCAGGCGGGGCAGCTTCTTCAGCCTCCTGTGCACCGTGGTGAGATGCCGTGGGTGGTGCCTGACCCAGCAGGGCAGGTCTCCCAAACCCCCATACACCATGGTGAGACCCCCATGGGGGTGCCTGACCCAGCAGGGTGGGTCCCCCCAGCCCTCCCCATACACCATAGAGAGGCCCATGGGTGGTGCCTGACCCAGCAGGGCAGGTCTCCCAAACCCCCATACACCATGGTGAGACCCCCATGGGGGTGCCTGACCCAGCAGGGTGGGTCCCCCCAGCCCTCCCCATACACCATAGTGAGGCCCATGGGTGGTGCCTGACCCAGCAGGGTGGGTCTCCCAAACCCCCATACACCATGGTGAGACCCCATGGGGGTGCCTGACCCAGCAGGGCAGGTCTCCCAAACCCCCATACACCATGGTGAGACCCCCATGGGGGTGCCTGACCCAGCAGGGTGGGTCCCCTAAACCCCCATACACCATAGTGAGACCCCATGGGGGTGCCTGACCCAGCAGGGTGGGTCCCCCCAGCCCTCCCTTACACCATGGTGAGACTCCTGGTCCTGTGGGTGATGTCTTTGGCTTGGGCCTCCTGCTGGGCCCTGGACATCAGCTGCTGCCTTTTTTTGTTTGTTTGTTAAGATTTATTTTATTGGAAAGTCAGCTTTACAGAGAGAAGGAGATATAGAGAGAAAGATTGTCCGCTGATTCACTCCCCAAGTGGACACACTGGCCAGACCTGAGACAGTCTGAATCCAGGAGCCAGGAGCTTCTTCCAGGTCTCCCGCAGGTGCAGAGTTCCAAGACTTTGGGCCGTCTCGACTGCTTTCCCAGGCTACAAGCAGGGAGCTGCATGGGAAATGCATATGGTTTCCCAGGCCACAAGCAGGGAGCTGGATGGGAAATGCATATGGTTTCCCAGTGCATGCAAGACAAGGACTTTAGGCACTAGGGTAGTGTGCCAGTCCCCTGCCTTTTTTTTTAAGGTTAATTTTCTTTGGAAGGTCAACTTCCAACAAAAGATTAGTTTTATTTGCTTGGAAGGCAGACTTCCAAAACCATCTGCTGGCTCCTTCCCCAGGCGCTGGCAACAGACAGGGCTGGGCCAGGCTTGGGCCAAAAGCCAGGAACCGTGTCCAGGACTTCCACGGGGGTGACTGGGGTGCAGGTAGCTACCTACCAGGTGAGCACATGGGCAGGAACTGGACCAGAAGTGGAGCGGCCAGGGTGTCCTGGGCGATGAGGTCATGGCTGAGCACCTGCCAACCCCCTTTCCTTGCTTCTTGATACATTTTGTTGGATTGGAGCGGGGTGGCGGGAACAGAACCTTGGTCTTTTGCTGCCGCAACATGTTGGGAACTCTTAAGGAAGAGTTGGCGTTCCCTCTGTCCCCACGCTGGCTGCTGGGTCATCCTCACAGCTCTCGGCCTCTCCTGGGTGTGTGTCGCGGGGAGCTATGTGTGGGTTCCCACAGGTGACAGGCAGTCAGTGGCCATCTCTTCCCGCAGCGACTGGCAGCGTCCAGGATCGCGTTCTGGGCCCAGCAGGACTACGTGGCACTCCTATGTGACTGGTGAGTGGCTGCGCCTTTGGCTCCCAGAGCCAGCCGGGATGGGAGAGTTAAGGACCCAGCCTGGGCTTGCCAGAGAGGGTATGCACTGCCCCAGTCCTGTGGGCTGCAGTGGGGCCAGGGGACTGTGTTCTGATCTCTTACCTGGTGTCCCACTCAAAGGTCACAATGTCCCCTGTGGGTTGGCGGTGGCGGTCACCTCAGGCAGTTTCCCCTCAGACTTGCCTGGGACAGATCCAGAGACAGGGGTGCTCCCCGAGGCAGTCCAGGGCGGAGTATGGTCCAGGCTCTGGGGCCGTGTGCAGGGCTCGGTGAGTGCTGCTGACCTGCCAGGGTGATCCGTTTGACAGGGAACAGAGGACTGGTGGAAATTGGAGATTGGCCAGGTGGTGAGCCCAGACCCTCCCACCTGCCCCCCACATAGGAGGGGCCCTGTGCTGGTCAGCCCGGGCTGGGGCTGAGTCGTCTCAGCACTTGGGGTTACGGGACGCAAGGTGGGGTGCAGCTGCCTGGGCCCGGGCTGGAGGCCATGGCCAGGCATGTTCTGAGAAGTATGTGTTGGATATGACACGGCCTGTGCCCCTGTCCGACCTGTCCCCTCTTCATGGTCAGCGTCCCCGTGGTCTACATCTTCCAGCTGGACATCTCCGCGCAGCAGCTGGCATTCACCCAGCAGCTGACCTTCCAGCACCGCGTGTGGGATGTTGCCTTCGAGGAGGCCCAGGGCCTTTGGGTCCTCCAGGACTGTCCCGAAGCCCCCCTAGTGCTCTACACGCCCCTGGATGGCCGGTGGCAGGTGAGCCCGTGTCCCTTGGGGTGGAGGGTGGTGACAGGTGAGCCTGTGTCCCCGCTGTGGTGGAAGTGATAGGTGAGCCTGTGTTCTGGGGCGAGTGGGTGTATCCTGATGCCAAATAGTGTGTGTAGTGAGACCTTGGGGCGCAAGGGGCCTTATGACCTTTGTGTTTCTGGGTCCTCCTGGCCCCTGTCTAAAGTGGTACATCAGTGCCTGGTTTTTATTTAATATACATTTTAAGTGTTCTGGCCTTGTGCCCGGGCAGTAGTGGGGCCATCAGAGTGTGTGCGCCCCTAAGGTGGAGGAAGCCCTGTGGGCCGGGCAAAGTCCAATGCATGTGGGCAGTGCCCTGGACTTCCGACCAGTTCACCTGAGCCCCTCTCCACAGCTGGGGGCCCTGGAAATACTCCAGAGCCTCATCGGTCCTTTGTCACAGACCTGGTCAGCACCAGGCCCAGGGGCGCCACACCACTGGCGCTGTGCCAAGTAAGGTGCCTGCTGGCCTGCTGCGTGCCTCCCACAGGGTTCTCCCCAGACATGCACGCCCTGGCCAGCCCTGAGCACTCCCCACAGGGTCTGTGCTATGCTGCCCCACTACCTGCTCACAGAGGCTCCATCCTCAACAGGCTGTTCCTGAGAGGGCCTTGGTGGACAGACTGTCCCACTGTCTGCGCAGGAACTGGGCCATGCTGGAAGGTAAGAGCCTCGTGGGGAGGGGCAGGGCATGGAGGACCCCTGCAATAGGAGCCTGCTTCACATGGAAAGCCACGCAGGGCAGGGGCATGGTCCCCGTCCAGAAGGCAGGGCTAACAGTGGCATCAGCTGCAACCTGGAGCCCGGGCTGGTGGCCCCGTGTGGCCTGTGCTGGAGCGGGCACTGGGCAGCCCTCAGTCCCTAGCCACAGGTGTTGAGGGAACGGACCTGTGCACTGCGTGCAGGGCCCTGCTGAGGGAAGAGGCTCCCGGGGTGCTGGATGGAGGTGTGGGTGCCGGGCAGGATCTCCTGGGCAGGCCTTGCCCTCTCTGGGCAGAGCTGGCGGCTGTGGCTGTGGGTTCATCTGCAGCTCCGTCTTGTGCTGCACGTAGAGGTGGCTATGCAGAGGATAACATGCACAAGGCCAGACCACCCTCCGGGGCACTGGGGATTCCTTGGGGTGCTGGCTTGCTGACTCCTGTGCAGTCTCCATGGCACCTACCTGGCCTCTGCACCCTCCCCGCCGTGAGAGGGCCAGGCAGTGTCAGGCTGCTTCCTCCTGGTACAGCTTTACTCTGTTCCGGCAGCCCCTTCCTGGTGGGTCCACAGTGGCTGTGCTGGGCATGCCCCACCCCCATGCAGGCTCTTGGGGTCCCACATGCCGTCCTGATGCCCCCGTCTTGGGGGTCAGCCCACACGGACCTGCTGTGGTGCTGCACACGGGCTCCAGCCAGAGACTGGCTCTGCTTTGCTGACATGTTCCGCAGTAGGACTGTGCATGTATGATGCTGAAGTGCAGGCCCAGCTAGGTGGGTGTGCTGGGCCTGCTGCCCCCGCGACCTGTGTCCAGTGATTGTCCCTCAAGCTCCATGACCCTGAGATCCGTGGCTGGGAACCACTTAGCTTAGGTCAGACCCCTGAACCATGCACTGTCTCCGTGGTCAGGAGCCCAAAGGCTCCTGTCAGGGTCATTGCTGCCCCTCACCAGCCAGGTGTGCCACAGTAGGCTCAGGCCCTCGTTGCTCCCCAGGTCCTTGCCTTGTGGAACTCCCCGTGGTGGCTGCGGCCTGGCAGCCTCCTCAGAAGGGGCAGGCAGGAGTGCTTGCAGTGGGCACCAGCTTGGGGGCTGCTTTCTTGCCTCAGGCTTTGCTCTGCTGGAAGTGGCCCCCAGGTCCAGCCAGGGAATGGCTCTGTGTGCTGGGTGGCCTGTGAGGCCCTGCAGGAGTCCAGCTGCCCACCTTGCCCAATTCTCATTCCTTGGCAGGTTCCACTGGGGCTGACGAGGGCTTCCGCGGCCTCTACAAGGCCACCTTCGACAACATGGCTGCGTACCTGAAGAGGAAGGAGGAGAGGCTGCAGCGTCGCCGGAGGAGCCCCCCGCCCGGAGCGCCGGGGCCAACCAAAAAGAGTAGAGTGGACCAGGCCCTGACCTGCTGACCACGCGCTCCCCGGTGCAGCCCCTCAACTCCGGGGTCGATCGTGCTGGCTGCCAGCTGCAGGACATGCCCGGGCCCGAGGAAGCTTGCCATCCCAGTGACTGAGCTGCTTGGGGTCTGTACCCAGTTGGCTGGAAGGGAGCAGTGGCGATGCCTTCACCTGAGAGCGATGCTGTCAGCACGCCGCTGGCTGCTCTGGGCCATGGTGCCTTTTAGCCTGGCTCCTGCATGTGGATGACACTCCATGGTGTTTCCTGTCGCCCTCCATGCCCGGGAGGTGTGCTCAGTGATGGAGGCGAGGCCAGGCCAGAACCCAGCTCCCTTCAGGCTGTGCTAGATGGGCAGGTGTTCACGGCTGCACTGTCAGCGGGATGCACCCGCCTCCCGTGAAGACGGGTATCGAGAGGGTGCGTGTGGATGGAGCCAGTGCTGCATGTGACTGATGTGCTCACTGCCCCATTTGGGCAAAGTGGCCTACACGTTGGGTCATTGGATTAGCCTTTTGCCCTCCTCCTGGCCCGTCTCAAAGGGGACAGTGGGCAGGTCTGAGGGGGACGCTTTTTGGGCCCTCTGCCTTTGGGTCCAACTCAGACACTCCCGCGTTCTCCAAAGTGCCTTGTTTCTCTTCCACTTCAGCCTGTATGTGGTGCTGGCTGGGATGGCTCAGCCGCCCCTCCTATGCCAGTTCCCAGACGTTTGGTTCACGCGTGGAGCAGGCGCAGGTCTGGTGGTGTCGGTGCCTGTGTCCCACGTCACAAGGCCCTGCTGGGTGAGTCCCGGCTCCTTCTCGGTCCCGTTCCTGCTGAGGTCTGGGAGGCAGTGGTGATGGTTCCAGGGCTCACATTCCTGCCGCCCAGGGAAGACCTGGCTTGGTCTGAGTCTGGGCTATCGTGGGCATCTAGGGAGGGAGCCGGCAGGTGGGCACCCACTCGCCTCGGTCTCTCCCTTCTGAACACAAACCTGCTTCGAAATTTGTGAATGTAGAAGAAACTCAGGGTCAGCCTTGCTGGTTGATGGACCGGTCCTGCCCCCGCCTGGCACTGTAGGGCATGGGAGCTGTGCTACACATTTCAGTATGTGCTCCTGCAGGGAGCACTGAATCACATTTTAAAAATGCTTGGAGGAGCCATGTTGGCATAGCGAGTAATGCCACCGTCCTTGATGCTGATGTCTCATGTGAACACTGAGTTTGAGTCCCAGCAGCTCCACTTTCCATCCAACTCCCTGCTGTGGCCTGGGAAAGCAGTGGAGGGTGACCCAAAGCCTTGGGACCTAGAGCAGCTCCTGCCTGTGGCCTGGCCCAGCCTTGGCCACTATGCTTGTCTGTGGGGGGAAGCTAGCTTGTTTGCTCTCTCACTCCCTTTCCATAATCCTTACAAATCAATGGTTCAGTCCTAAAAAGGCTGGAAACAAGTCAGAAGAGGCGCTGTGCACCTGTCGGTGCCTGCAAGCACACCTTCGCGGGGGTGCGGGTCTGTGGCCGACTTGGTGTCCAGCCGCCTGGAGCTGCAGTTCACAGGGAGCAGCTCCAGAGCCCCAGAGCATCCGCCGCCCCTGCAGCAGAGCCTGCGGCCCCACAGCGTGCCCACCCCTGCCCAGCCCCCCAGGAGCATGTCAGCATCTGCAGGAAAACCTGCCTTCCTTGCGTCTGCCTCACTCTCACGGCAGTGTCTCTGGGCCGGCGGGGCATCCAAGGCTTCCCTGCCCGGGCTGCAGGCCCCGACACGCTGCCCTGGAAGGTGGTGCTGGAAGCCCAGAGACCAGAGGGCAGCCCGGGTTGGGAGGGAACGTGACGGACGACTATGCTTCCACTGGTTACTTGTAAGTTATTTGTTTTTAAATAAAGATTTAGTTTTCATGTTTTATTTGAAAGGTGAGGAAAGTGACTTTCCATCTACCCACTCATTCCCCAAATGCCTCCTGACAACCAGGAGCCTGAGACTCGCCAGGCCTTGTGTGGCTGGCAGAACCTCCAGCACTGCCTGGCCCTGCTGCGCCCCAGGTTGGGTTTTGGCAGGAGGCCAGGTTGGCACTGGAGGTAAGATGAATTCAGGTCCTTGCACTGCCCACCCGAGCGGTTTCCTCATCCTACTCACTGGGGACCTGGCAGGTGAAATATACAAATGACCCGCCAGCCAGGGCAAGGCCCTTGGGCCCACAGGGAGCACTGCCCAGCGTGGGGCCTGGGCAGGAGGCAGGCAGGATGGTGGCTGGGGCGGGCAATGTGCAGATCACCTGTGGGTGCTGAGGCTGCAAGTGAGCAGGGATGCAGGCACCAGAGCGACCCTCCCACCGCAGGCTGAGGAGAGCTTCCACCAGGGCTCCCGGGGAGGAGGGCTGACGGTTCCCCTCTGGGCCTGCTGCTTCCTCTCAGCCACCCCAGGTCACACCCAGCTTGCCATGACCTGAGAGGGTGAGCCCACAGGCTGCCCTGACTAATGCAGTGACACCCTGTTGCTGCACCTGTCCTGCACGGCTCCCACCCCCCGCTGGAGCAGGGTCCCCTGGGGCGCAGCAGTGGCAGCTGTCACAGCAGACGAATGTGCATAGGTGAGCGAGATGCTGGTCAGAAGTGATTGGTGCGCCCATGGAACTGTATCATGAAATAATAAAATGATTAAAAACCAATAAAGTTCAAGACATCAAAAAAAAAAGCAATTGGTGCACTGAGGCCACGCCCCCATGCATTTTGCCTGCCACCCTTTGTTTGAAAACAGTGGGCACCTGCTGGTTAGCTAGCAATGCTGTGCCAAGAGCCTGCCCATTGCGCTGTTACTCCTCAGCTGCTTTCTCATGGATTCTGTGTCCATCACATGTCCAGGCCCTGGACGGGGTCCTTCCCAACCTGAGGATGCTGCCTGCTGCTCACTGCTGCTCGTCTGTCCCCAGCCCAGCTGTTTGGGCTGCTGTGATGACACCCTGTGAGGGAGACTGGTTTGTTGGCTGTTGGAGACGGGAGTTGTTTTCTGAGTGCCAGCAGCCCCACTTCCCATCCAGCTCCCTGCTTGTGGCCTGTCACAGTGGTGCTGACATTACGAAGAGGGCACCTGCGCAGCTGACTTGACCCGAGATGGGGCAGATACTGGGACTTGCAGCTATGGGGGAACCATCTAGGACATCAGCAACTAGGGTCCCTTTCCTGGCAACAGATTGTCACAGTGACTGCGCAGAGCTGGGACAGGATCCACCCGCTCCAGACCTCGCTGTGTCCCCTTGGGGAGGGCAGGAAGTCAAGGGCCCAGCCGGGATGGTGGTTGAGGGTCTGGGGGCGGGAGCTGTTTGTCCTTGGCCTCCCCCACATGCAGAGCTCGTTGGGCCATGGGTACATCTCACCCAACCCGGGATGGCCGCTGGCTCAACCTCCCGTGTGGATGTGGCTGAGGGCCAGGTTTTTGTCTAAGACACATGTGCATGTGTGACTGAATGTAAATGGCCACATACATGTGCCTGTACATGTGAGGGCACAGGCAGACGTGTGTGCATAGTATGCAGGTCACATGTGACCAAGACAGACTGGGATTGGTGTCATGCAAGTGTACATGCGTGGGAGTGTGTGAGCACGCATGTGGACGTCGCTGGAGCTACGTGAGGCTGGCCTTCCAGGTGCTCTGGCAGAGGGCAGCCACGGCCGGCAGGAGGCTCAGGACAAGGAGGGCTTTGCTGGGCCGGAGACGGACACACACACACACACACACACACACACACACACACACACACCCCTGCCTGCCTCATGCCTCACAGGTTCCTCTGCTGGCAACAGCCTGACAGAGTGTGGTTGGCCGTATCATCTGCCCTTGGCAGGGCCCGGATACCTCCCTGCTACCCCAGACCCCAAAAAGACGATCCAGAACCTACTTCCGTATAAGAATATATTATTTAAAAGAGAGTTCAAAAATAAAAATTCTGTACAGTGTCAGGAATGCCTTTGTTGCATATCAAGGAACAGAACAGTTCTGGCAAAGGGGGGCATGGCCTCGAGTGCACAGAGGAGCCCAGGAAGCTCGGACAGCCCCGTCCAGACAGCCGCTCCGTCACCGTCCTGCTTGGCTCAGACCCGGTCTGCAGGGGGAGAAGAAGGCAGTGGTGTATGTTTGCTGAGAGGGGACGTGAGTGGTCACAGGTGGGAGAGCTGCACTGGGTCCCCAGCTCCCAGCCTCTGCCGCCCTCTGGGCAGCGGGGAGAGCGAGCTGGCGGGCAGGAGCTAGCTTCCTCTCTTAGGTACACACTGGGAAGCATGACACGAGCTGAGCACGGGGCAGGGGGCAGCGATCAGTGTTCTCAGTTGCTGAGACAACCACAGGGTGCACTCTGCTTGCTGCCAGCTCCGCCAAACAGGGTCCTTGCCACCCAGACAACTCCAGCCCAGGGCCTCGCTCCCCCAGTCCTTTCCCCTTCCTCCCACCCCTCCTCTCACTGTTTCAGCTACCACTGCCACCTGCCCTAAGTGTGGGTAGGTACCTTCGTCTGCCTTGGCAGCTCTGCTCCCAGGCGTCGAGTTCTCCGTTGTCTTCCGTTCCTGGTGTGTGGGTAGGGGAGCAGAGTGGTGGGCTCAGTTCTAGGGAGCAGAGGCAGGCAGGGGCTGCTCTCCGCTGTGGCCTGCAGGCAAGGTTCCCCCCCACCCCATACGCACACATGGACCGGGGATTCCCCTGTACTGGCTGAGCCTAAGCCTGGAGGAGGTGCTTAAATTAGGGCCACACACCTGCACGCACAGGGGCAGGAGCTGGCCCGTGCCTCCTGGGGTCACAGCACTGGCCCTCGCACAGCGACCAGACCAGCGAGGAGCTATGAGTCCCCACCCGCTGCCGCCTGCTCGCTCCCCACGCACCGTGAGGCCCTCCTTTGCAGCATCGTCCCTCCGTTTCAGCTCCTCGTAGTGGTCTCGGGACTCCCAGAGCGGCTGCAGCATGAGCTCCTCCACCATGGGGAAAAGCTGTGGACACACATGCGGGTGGTGACCCCCACACTGCCTGCCTCCCTCCTCCCTGGGCCCTCCCTGGGCCCTACACGCGGGTTGGGGCCGTGGGCACGTGGCCCAGGCTGCTTGGGTGGGATAGGACTGGGGGGGCATGACCAGGGGAAGGGGGCAGGAGACTGCAGCTGGAGCCTGGGGCGCCCATCCCAGCTGGGTGGCAGGACCTAGCCTGGGGACCAGGGCTACAAGGAGAAGGATGGGGCACTGTCTGCAGAGGCTGGCACTGCTGAGGGCCCCTCAGGGCCAGCAGGGAGGTGGACAGGGCAAAGTGTGTGTGTGAATGCACATGGGCGTGCAAACACGTATGTGTGAGTCCCACTGTCCTGTCATCTCACCTTGGTCACCATCTCAAACATCGGGATCAGGACAAACTTGATGAACCCAATTTGGGCTGTAGCTTTGGTCACTTTGTCTCGGTCCATGAACGGGGCCACAGGGAGTCCTTCTGACTTCTCACGGTCACTCTGTAGCGGAGGGGGATGGGACAGGAGATGAACCTGGAGGACAACACTTCCCAGGGGACCTTGGTGCTGAGTGCACACTGTTCTTAGAGCAAGATCAGCTGCCTTACAGCCGGCCACCTACTGAGCCAGGACCACACAGCTGGCCACCAACTGAGCCAGGACCACACAGCCGGCCACCAACTGAGCCAGGACCACACAGCCGGCCACCTACTGAGCCACAGCCGCACAGCCGGCCACCTACTGAGCCAGGACCACACAGCCGGCCACCTACTGAGCCAGGACCACACAGCCGGCCACCTACTGAGCCAGGACCACACAGCTGGCCACCAACTGAGCCACAGCCGAACAGCTGGCCACCAACTGAGCCACAGCCGCACAGCCGGCCACCTACTGAGCCAGGACCACACAGCCGGCCACCTACTGAGCCAGGACCACACAGCTGGCCACCAACTGAGCCACAGCCGAACAGCTGGCCACCAACTGAGCCACAGCCGCACAGCCGGCCACCTACTGAGCCAGGACCACACAGCCGGCCACCTACTGAGCCAGGACCACACAGCCGGCCACCTACTGAGCCACAGCCGCACAGCCGGCCACCTACTGAGCCAGGACCACACAGCCGGCCACCAACTGAGCCACAGCCGCACAGCCGGCCACCTACTGAGCCAGGACCACACAGCCGGCCACCTACTGAGCCAGGACCACACAGCCGGCCACCTACTGAGCCACAGCCGCACAGCCGGCCACCTACTGAGCCAGGACCACACAGCCGGCCACCAACTGAGCCAGGACCACACAGCTGGCCACCAACTGAGCC